TACTTAACATGAAGTTAAAGTGCCATAAAAATGCCAGAGCATATAATGCCACATCACACAGTTGCTGGAAAACACTCACATGCCCCCAGTTACACACATGAACAAGCATTGGGTTCCTTTTCAGGTCCTTTGCTTTTAAAAAAAGGAGAAAGCTAAGGCTGAAATTGCGAAAACGATTTTTTTTCATATTTTTCGCTCTGTGCCCGAAGAATAAAGAATACTTTTTCGCTGGCCATGGCCATGGGCACATTGAGGCAACGGAAAAAAGGCATAATTCTGAAGCTTCTCTCCGACTCTTTAACAAAGTTGTATTTATGTATTCGGAAGATGATACAACTTAAAGGACTTTATACTATGTATATTCGGTAGTGTTGATTTTCTTTTGGAATTTATTATGAATAGCTGAATTGAGTAGAAATTTACAAATGAAAGGCGAATGCGAATAATATTTATTTGGTGTTTAATCTGATAAGGAACAAAAATTAAAACTAAACAAAGCTTTTTTCATTGAAATTCAATAACAGTGATATTCAATAGTCCATAAAAACAGCGTATGAATATGTAAGCCACCTTTTAGTCCAAAACAAATGGAATTTATGAAAAATATGTTAAAACAAGAACTTAAAGCTCAACTTCATTGTCCGCTTCTCCTGCAATCTGCAATCTACCAATTGCAATTGGATTGGTAACAGATAATAACAATGCTATTGATATTCCGCTTATTCATGTTTAAAATATTTATTAAATATGAAATTAATGAGCAATTTGTTGTATTATTTATTAAACGTGAAATTAATGAGTAATTTGTTGAATTAAAGTTAATGCTAATTGATTGATTAAGCTATAGGATTTTTAAATAATTGAAAACAAATATAAATACTTTAATTACTTAATTAATTAATACAAGAATGGTCACTGCTTGCTAAGATGAATACAAACTTATTTGAAAGAAATTAAAGACTGTCAGTTGCATAGCAAACTTACTGAAAATAGAATCTGTACAATCGATGTTTGGCAAGGCCTATGATATTAAATCCCCGATTGATTATAACCCAAAATAGAAAATATTTCATTACATTTGGAGCAGCCCTCGAGGCAACCGCAAACGTTCGCAATCATAATCCAGGAACGACACATTGGGGCGCATTTAAACTGATTTCAGATTGGATCAGTGGGTGTTTTCGTCTGTGTGGGTAAGTATCCGTGTGTGTGGCTTTGTGTGTGTGTGTGTCACCATTACAACCGCAAGCCAGGAGGATATTCGCTTGCCGTATGTCTTGGCACGCACGCAGGAATATTGAAGCCGACGAGGATTTTGGGTAGGCAAAATTATAATGAATTTGTCGTGCATACATTCCCCTCGATGCGTGACTCTCTGCCACGCCCCCTCCATTTCGGCCCGATTTGGTTTAGTTACGAGGAGATAAGCAGTTAAGTATCTTGGTCCCGACATCCCAACATTGGAACATGAAATGTCGACGGTTTGGAAATCGTGCCCATGAAATAAATACCAGTTCTCGATGGTGTTCCGGATGATGTTGTTGTTAGATAAATTGAATTAAAGTGAAATCAGTCGCCGCTGGCCGCAATAAATTAATGAAAATGTAGTAGCTAGGCGACAGAATAAAATATGAGGCATGGGCAAAAGTGCGACAGTCAAATTGAGTTATCAGCATAAATCAAAGGCAGTATTTGTTTAATCATTGGTCCTGCCGCCTGACCAAACTTGCAAATTAATTTGAATTAAGCTCCCTAATGGGTAAATAAATGCAGCCGCCGCCTTTGCAGCTTAAAAGTTTACAGCAGCGAAAATTCCTTTTTAATTAAATTCAAGTGTTGGACGACCCTTTCTGCATGTCAAACACGTGGAAAAGGAAACTTCCGCTTTCCTCCGCCTTTGAGCGAGTCATTTTCAAAGAAATTCACAAGTTATTCATGGCAACTTTGGGGGCTGGGGAAAAACTTGAGCTTGAGTGATATGTTACCAAAGAGTTGTCGCTGAGTCTGGCCAAAAAAAATTGTTCTCTGGTTTCGGGCCAAGGTCAATGGGTTGCTGCATTCCAAACCTTTAGCCTAGAAGCGTTTTTGGCACAGGACCAGAAAAAAGAGAGCAATCAAAGCCACTTGATTACCATTTGTGGAGTTGCCCAACTCACTTGCCGATGAATCAAGTTAATGAACTAACTGAATTGGAAAAGTTTTGAACTTTTCGACTTCGGCTTAAGGATACGAGTATTTGACGTTATTCTTGATGGTTTGACTTTTGCAATGAAAACAATTGGGCTGAACCCGAAATTAAAGTGCCTTTTATGTGTATTTAACTTGAATTACATATTAATATTTATCTTTATCATAATCTGGTGGAGTTGAGTCCGATGTTTTCAGAATCTTCTCAAAGTCGTTTAAGTTAATTAAAATATAATTTTAATTTTAATAATGGTAAAAGTAATGGACTCATCAAGTTTAATGAGTGTATTTAAATGCAAATCAAAACTTGTGAAAGGGTTTCACTTCAGTGAACTAACTTCAAATAAAAATAAAGACCTTACCAAGGTTTTTTCTTTACCAACTTCCCTTAACCCCGGCGGTATTATTTACGACTTAAGCATCCACCTCTGATATCAACCATAAAACATGTTCTAACGCTTTTCATAAGTTTGTCACGTCCAATTTCCGCTGCGACCTTCGATGGCTTCGATGAGGAGTATTTAGTTTAATGCATTGCAATAAATTTAATGCATACTCAAAATACACTTTAAATCACAAATCCAGCGCATTTCGACCAGCTCAATGATGGCCAATCCCAGACATTTTTGAAATGACGCTTAAATCTGCTTTTATGACCCCAATGGCAAAGTCAACATAATGCCAAGCTGAGGGCTGAAAAGCAACCCCCACGGTCGTACAGAAATGTTTAGCCAATTTATTTATGCGAGTAAGGGACATCAAATTGAAGACTAACATGAATAAAATTGTGATAAATACACATTTAATGGCGCACAAATGTGATTTGAAAATGTATTAAAACTAATTGCACTGCAATGTGCAATTGTGGCAAACTGTCATCTGTCACGGAAATTGAAGTGTTTGCGTAGCAAATCAGGGACATTGGCAAAGCGAATGCGGCTCCTTGGCAGTAACCCCATTACCACTAAGTGCCATTGCAGCCGGGCCAAGAAAAATTACCTGCTCGAGGGGATGGTTGAGGGGGAAGGGGGGCGGACCGGGTGCGCACTGTGGAGTGTTTACCTCAAAATTTCGAAAGGCTTCTTCTGATTCGTTCTAAGGATGCAATCAATCTTACGAAGCCATTGAGCGAGCTTTTGAAAACAAACATTGCTGATTTACAATAGAGCAAATACAAATACAAAAGTACACAACAAAACATCTTCAGTTAACGGCTTTAAATGTGGTGATTTGCTATTGCTTATTGTTTTTCGGTACTTTACGACCAATACTATTATTTTTTAAATGTGTTTTTAAGTAAAATACTAAAGATTAAAATTAAAAATAATTAACTGTGGCAAAAAGCCTACTGGCTTTCTTGTTTAGTTAATCCTTTACCAACGTTACCCCCACTTCGAGCGCATAGAGCCCATGGTACTTCATGGCTTGTGTTTGCATTTGCATTTCATTAAAACACAGGCAGGTAAACAAGTTGCCGCCCATGGCACTCACTCACTCACTTTGGCGTGGCTCAACCTCAACCTCAACCTGTGAACGACCGTACCCGCGACTACGACTACGACTAAGGCGGATGATGATGGCGGTGATGATGACGCTACGAGGATGAGTATGAGCATGAAGATGAGGACTACGGGCATTGGTAGCGCGCTGTTGTTTCAGCTTTCAGCTAATGGCATTGAGGGCCGAATGACAGTAGGTCTATACTGCCCTCAAGGAGCAAACGGGGGGCGTGGCAAGTGCACTGCAATTGCAGACGAGTGGATTTCAAGGCGCCCACTGATTGCACGCGGAACGTGACACGCCCACGGGCATTACAATAAGTATACACCCGGTGTGTTTCAATTAGTTTGCGTTACGGCCGAATAAACACGTTAAAAGTGCGTGTAAACAAACAGCGAATGGGGAAATGGGAAAGGGGTAGGGGTATGAAAATACCAAAAGATAATGACGCCATGTCCAAGGGCAAACAATAAAAGCGTCGCCCAAATTGGGCTGCCATATTAAACGAACCTGACCACCTTGTTCGGCCGGCAAACAAACAAACTGTCACTTGTCACTGGCGAACCCCCCGTTTTTATTTTCCCCCGGGAAGGAAGGGGAAACGGGGGCATCTGGCCAGATAATTTTCTTTGTTTTCCGCCAAATGTTTTCGTTCTTTATCCGCCAGTTTTCCGCCTATTTTATCACGTTTTTGCCTCCTTTTTATTTTGTATCCCCTGTTTACTTTTCACGGGCTCGGAAACTCAGCAGACAGGTAGCAATATGCAAATCAAACAGAGGGGAAATGGCGTTGACAAACGCCGCAGAAAAAATAAGCATGAGAGCAGGAAGAGGAAAGTCACATCCATCGGCATGGAATTCACGTGCATCCCAAGTGCCCCAGGGAAATTCAAGCAGCAGCAGAAAGAACTTCCCTAATGCAATCCGCCCTGAATTCCGGCTTATGACAGCTTGAATGTCGAACTACGTGTCGGCTCGTTTCGCTTCTGGTGAAATTTAAATACGTCACAGGTCGGATCCGATTTGAATTTATTTAATTTGCATTTGTTAAGGAGTTCCAGGCTTTTCTTCGAATTGTTTCGAGGCCCTGCCTTAATATTTATGTTATATTTTGTATTGTTATTTCATTTCATATAATTGATTGGGTTAAAAGAAATAATAGAATTTTTTGTTTTGGAATTTAAATATTTATTTTCCAGTGGTGTCAAGGGTTGGTATTTGGAAAACCAGACTTTATTTAAATTAATAAATTCTATAACTTTAATTCTTCACCCAGAAACATGTTGCGAAATAATTTTAATTCGTTTCCTTACATTTAAGAAATGCTGATACATCAAACATCTGAAACACTCTTAGGTTTTTCGGTCTCTTAATGCTGTTTTTCACTCTGCCTTCTAAACTATTTTATTAGTTTTGTTATTAGTGTGATAGTAAATATAATTTACTGTTAATATACATTTGTTGAATTTATTTTTTGTTTAACATCTTCTAGGCAGTAAATAGGCTTACATTGAAGTTCCTTCCCAGTGTGATTATGGCTTTTCACATAGTGATCGAGCAACGTCGATTGCCCAGTTTAATTATTGACACATTATCTGATTGTCAGCTCACGCACGAAAGCCGCAACAGGGACCACTGACCATTATTGAGTCAATGCAGGCAGTAGGTTTGGCCGTATCGCGTATACGCCATGTGGCTCGAATCGAAAACCGAACGCAACTCGCTTCACATGCGCGCGCTTTGTGGGCCGCGTGCTCTCGCCTCGACGTCTGTTGTTGGACTAAAAACCAGAACACCTACCAGTCAGAGGCTGATGCTGTTGGCCAACTCAACCGCTAACATACGCTCGGCAGCAACAGCTGCTCTGTTAACTGCTCTCCTGGCCATTCATTCATAATTGTTTTGAGTGGAATTGTGTGTTGGCCTGATGTTTATTTCTTCCCTGCGGGAATACAGAGAAAAAAGTGAGACATAAAAATGTTTTGGGGGGCTTTAAGTTCTGAGAAACTTCAACATTTGTGGCTAATTAGGTAAAATGGTCCTTATCTTTCTATTTATTGTGTGATAAGTGCTACTTACAGATTTTAAGATACACTACTACTTGTCTTGAATTTTATTAAACATTTTAAAACGCTGAATTGTTGATACAAAGTATTCTTACCATTAAAAGGACTGCATATCCTTAGCACATAAAAGCTTGATGAGTTGGAAAAGTGTAAAAATTGTGGCATATTTTTAAATTATAATAAACGGTTGAACTTTCTTGAATATTTTATCTTAAATATATTCACAAATTGTCATAATATTTTAACAACGTTTCTTATCTTTGAATTCATAAATAGTTTGCTCATCAAAACAAGCAAATAAAAGCATTACAGTTCTCAAATTGGCTAAGATTCGTTTAAGTTATGAGCATTGGATTTGGAATTGGAAAGCTAAAAATGGTATGCAAAGCTGGGCATGTCAATGTAACTGATATTGTTATGTATTTTTCTCTGTGCCAGATTGTTTTGTTGGCAGGACGAAAAATCAATTTGGCTAAGCCGAATGCGACGCTGGGGAGCAACTGAGTTAGCGTCATTCCCGCCACGTGCCTCGCAAATGTTAATGAGCCTGCGTGCCATAGTCTTTATTTTTATTATGCCCCACTACGATTTCTATGAATACATGGCCGTGCGCACTTATATACGTACAATGTACATGTGTATGCAAAAAAGGGAAATGTTGACCTTTCCCGCGCTGTCAATGCTGGCCAGAAAAGCATAACAAACAAATGCGCGTGAAATGTCAAAATCACTGTCTGCCAGGCCAGTAGGAAAAGAGTGGAAAATGGGAAAAATGGGAAAAATGGGAAGAATGGGAAAAGGAAGTGGAAACTGCGAAAGAAAGATGACGACGCATAAGCGAAAAAACAAACAAAATGCTTGGGGCGAGGGCAATCAAGAAAAATTTCTCCAGCAAATAGCATGGCAAATACAAATACAAACACCAGCAACAACCACAGCCAACTCAAGTGGTTGCATGTGGAGATTGTGGGTATTGTGGGGCAGGAGCACGAGTCAATGATGAGGCAGCCCATAAACACACACATGCTAGCCATCAGCATCCTTAACAAGGCTCAAGTGAATTATAAAAAATAAATGCTCCAGTGAATTGGACTCTTTGAAACCCGATATGCGGCAGTTGCCACCACAACCTCAAAGCTGATTTATTGTCTTTATTTTAAAAAGTATTTTTTCGGTTTTTTGAACCTTATCAAAAAACACAGTTTAATCTTTAAAAAACATGGGCAAGTAAAATTACTTTTCAAAAAGAATAAATAATGGTAATCGGTTATTAAAAAAGGTTTGTACCTTATATATAGTCAAAAGATTCTTTACCTACCTATTTAAAGCTCAAAAAAGAAAGTTGAAGCCAAGTTTTCAGATATATATATACTAAATGATGGCTTGCTGTTTTAGCTTTAAAAAGGAATCGCCATAACAACGGATTAAGTCTGCGAAATTGTCTGAATGCTCTTTTAAAGTAAATAAAAAAGTTATTGATAATAAGGACACGCACTGCTTTAACTCGAAGTGCTCTTTGGCTGAAGTCCAGTGGAGAAGTGGCTGTATTTGTTGGCCAAATGCTTGTGGACTGTAACCGAATGTTCCATTTTTATTTTTCGTAGCAATTGCCGGGGGGGGCAAGTGAAAACCGCTGGTAGCTTGTGTGCGGTTTTGTTAGTTCTTCGTTTTATAGTGTGGCCAACAGTCTGTGTGCTGACATTTCGAAGCATAACGCCAGGAGACTAGATACCGAATGTTAAGGGCTTAGAGCCCAGAGCAACAAACTCAGAATTAGCCGCAAGTGGGGCCCTCCTGCTGTGGCACATGTGGCAAGAGCAATTGCTTTACTTGGAATGCAACGTTCTGTAGCCACACTTTGTCAATTTGTCGTCACCCCGCCACTCCGAAAGGTAAACTTGCTAGTGGAAAAATAATGTACAACCTTTGCGGTGCCTGACTTTTATTTCCCCATTAAGGGCAACTTTTTAATTAGTTAAAGTTTATCGGAAAATTTGCATGAGCAAACTTTGTCTGGCGCAACGCTGCGTATACTTTACATTTGCCGTCTATCCGAATTGCATTGTGTGCAGAAATCAATGGAATTCTGATTCAAACGAAATACAAAGATGTCGAGACCTTACTCGCATGACATAACAATGATATAAAACGAAGGCTTAGCAGAATGCTCAAAGCTGTCACAAGCAAATTATTTTTGCCACTGGAGTGCATCATTTAAAGGAGGTCAATTTACGCAACAGCGCATAACAATGCTGCAGTCGAAATCATTCAGTTTAGTTTAATTTTCTTCCACAAGTCAGAGTTAGCCTTGGCTTTGGTCGTAAGTCCCAATTAATTGCATGCAACTCGGCAACTTAAAGCCCTCGGTCTTCAAGTGTTTTGCATTTAGAGGGTCTGCGCTGGCTTTGGGGGGATATTCGCACATTTATGTGGCACTGCTAGATCCGAAAATGTAAATGCGATGCAGGCGACAAAATACGCTCCACTGCGCTCCCTATTCCTTCCATTTTCGGGGGGGTTTTATTTTATTTTTTGGTCCTGAACTCTAATGAGCATTTAAGCTTGCGGCTTGCGTTTTTTTTCATTTTTCTACTGCTGGTGCATTTGCATAAATTTGGAATTTTCAAATGGCCCGGGTAGAAAACAAATTTCTGCTTTTAATTTAATTGATTTGCATTCTAAATGAATTTCGAACAAAGCAGCGCTAATTTTTGGCTGTAGTACGCTCTCCATTCAGTTTTTATTTGGCATCCAATTCCATTTCTGGCCAATGTCGGACAAACAAATCCCCCCGTGTTTTCCTTTTGATTTTTTGATTAGTTTTTCATTGATTTATGGGCCATGTTTTATTGAATTCGAACCGCCCATGTCCCTGGCCTCAAATTGCACGCACTTTAATCTGGCCAAATGTTTGCGCTCCCTTCGTTGCCAATTTTGGTTTTCGTTTTTGTTTTTCGCCCCTTACGTCGCTGCCTGTTTGTTTGTATCTCATTCTGGGCCATTTAATGCGTATACGCAATATCTGGAGGAATTCGTTGTTGGCCGCAACGGAAGCGCTAAGGCAAACATAAAAACAAACAGCACTCTTAATCGTGTATAAATGTTTATGCTCGTGTGTTGGCATAGTTTTATGTCTCAACTGAAGCGTTTGCCAGGCAAATAAAAATAATCAGCAAGTCAATATCCCGATGGGCAGCGGAAGAAACGCTTAAATCTTCTGCCTGTCTATTTTCGTGCACTTCATTATCGAGTTTGTTCTATTTTTTCTTAGCCCGGTCCGATGATGATGAAGTGTCTCGATTTGCGGAATCAATCCATTATTGCTTAATAATGGAAAAGCGCTTAGTTAATTGTGCATCACACATGGTAACCGTTTGGTAGAAATTGATTTGCGACACGTGCAGAAATCGAATTATGCCCACATAATTCACTCGATTATTTCCTGCTCTCAATTAATTTCCAACCTGGTAGAGTGTCAAATGATTGTGTATTTATTGATTGGACCGTTTTGCTATTGCAGACTTACCTAAGTTATTTATTAGTGCATTTATGTTCTATACATTTTTTTGTCGTTTTCAATGGCCCACTCCTCAGCTCAATAAATCAATGTCTATCTTAGATGCCGTTTCGTTTAAATTTGGTTTATTTGCCACAAGGTTGTTTGTCATTAATCAACAGAACATATATTTTGGGGAACGGTTTTGGGCTTGCATTTTAAAAATGTAATTTTCAGGTTTATTATTTAAGCTTCAATGTTTTTATATGTGTTATGGGATGGAAATTTGAATGCAAGTTAGAAAGCCATATTCATCAAAGAACTTTAACGATAACGATAACTTTGACAATACAATTATTATAGGGTATACATACATAAAATCAGCGCCTGAAGCGATTCATAACCATAGTTTTGAAAGCGATTTCTTGAGATTGAGCCTCACATTTATCAGCCATAGATAAATTTCGGTTGGCCTCCGAATTCTCCATTTTGTGAGATTAAATCTTTACTTTATTTCTCTTTTTTCAATGAAAATGTGATTGCATTGTTGCCACACAACCGACTGACTTCCTATTAAAAGTATTTTTTTATTCAATTCCACTGTTCCTATTTCAACGTTTGCCAATGGAAGTTTACCGACGATCTGGCAACGTCAACCTTACCAGCCACGCGGTTTTGGCAAGTTTTCTTTTTTTTGCTTATTGTCTGCATTTTTAATTGAAAAGTAATTGTTAATCTTTGAAAGCAACATTTACTTAGCATGATGTCCGGAAGCTTAAAGAGATCCGTCTCGCTTGGCAGTAAAAGTAAGTAAATTAATTAATCTGCTGAGGATCTAAACCAATATTCCTGATAGCCGCCCCAGATCCGATGGATCGGTTTCTGGAGCGGCACCTTCTCTTCCGGAAGCACATTGTGTTGGACTCCTCCAGCTTGTTCCGCGCGATTGCCGAGCAGGTGTACGACACCCAGATGCTGCACCACGAGGTGCGCATGGAGTGCGTTCGCTATATGTTCCGCAAGAGGGTCTCCTTCCGGAATTTTGTGGAGGGGGACTACGACGAGTACCTGTTGCAGCTGGAGAAGCCCAGGACGGCGGGCACCTTGCTGGAACTGCGCGTATTGTGCCACCTGTACCGCCGCAATGTCGTCCTCCACAAACCCTTCGATCTGGGCCAGCTGCTCATCTTCGGCGATAGTTACCCGGAGACCCTACGCATTTTCGTGGACCGTCACGGACACTTTGACTCCGTACTGACCATGTCGGAGATTGAGACGGCAGCCGTTTGCCAGGCCGTGGCCTTCAAGATGCTCTACGAGCGGATCTTTTGCCTGCCGGACGTCAGTCTCGCCGTGGATTGGATGCTCTACCCGGAGACCTTTAAGTGGGGCACCGACCTGGAGTTCGATCGGCGCGCCAATGTCATCCGTTTGGTGTGCAGCAACGGCCGAAGTTACCAGCTGGATCGCCCCGAGCACACACGGTGCGTCCTGAAGAACTACCAGGAGTGCCCGTTCCACAATCAGAAGCTGGAGCTCCACGAGGAGAACTTTCGCTCCATGCCCGTGTCCTGCATGCGGCGCATCTTCGAACATCATTGCCTGCCCTTCTGCTTCACGGTAGCCAAGTCATTGAATCCCTATATGTATCGCAATGTGGAGCTCAGCTGCCTGATTGCAGCTCGTCGTGAGGCGAAAGCCCTGAATATCTACACCGGCGACTACGACTTCAAAGTGGGGGCCAAGTGCCAAGTGGCGTTGGACGCAAACCTGCACTGCGAGCTGAGCATTTGCCATATCCAGGCCATCGATAAGGACAACTCTGCATGCGAGGTGTTCGTCGAGGGGCAGGGTAAACTTCTGACCGTGCCCTACGACAGCCTTCATCCCCTGCCGCCAAGTGAGTTCAAGCCTTGGGATCGGGATCCCAAAAGACGATCCAAGCTGCCAGGTCTCCTCAAAATGAGCACCATGAAGCGCCAGTTTCTGCAGCTGGAGAACGCATCCAACTCAAAGTTTCGTTGTCAGGACAACAAGCCACATCAGGACTTCAAAAACGGGGTTCCGGCTGACAATAAGATATCGGAAGTGTTGCCAACCCAATATCCACCACTGATTCGGCCACCACCTGTACAAGATAATCAATTGGTATCTTTACCCGAATCAACGCCAAAATCTCAGTTCCGCATGTTGCCACCAATGGCCATTCGTCGTCCGGTTTTTGTACCGCCTTCTTTTGTGCCTCCTGGAATGATGCAACATGACCAGAGATTTATACAGCTCCATCGTCTGATGATTCGACCTCCCGGTCCCGTCTTTTTTGTAGCCCCACCAGGGTCCAGTCCTCCGCCTGGAATGCTGCCCGTTCTCATCGGCAATTCGCCTTTGATGATCCAGTTAGCTAATGATACTAACCCGCCTCCTGCAGAGTTTTAAATTATTTATACATTTTGCTCAACTGTACTTTTTTCAATCACCATTATATAATATTTCCATATTTCCAAACAAATAACTTCCAAATGCATGCATGTTTATAAACTCAAATTAAAGACTTAATTTTAATGTCATTTAAAGTTCTTTAATAAATAATAAATAAGCAAATGTTGCTCAAAGTTAATTTTTATTTGTTTTTAAATGCTTTTTTTATAGAACAGAGCACAGTTTATTTCCTTTTTAAATAAACACAAATATCAATGAAGTAATCTAAAGCTTAATGATAAAATATGTACTTTGTATAAGACGATATAATGGATATAAATGAAAGGCAAGCTTGGTAAACAAAATATAAATGTTGCTTGATTAAATATCTCAATTATATTCATTTGAAAAACAGTTTTAGTTTTTGATTACGAGCAATAATTTACTGATGGCCTATAGTATAAATTTTGTAAGTTGTATACTTTATAAGTAACTTAACTGGCTATATATATAAATCGAATTCGAAGTGTTTATGCGATCAGGCGACTTTGCAGGTTCTTGTTGATGTTTTCCACCATGTCGAAGGCATCGATGATCATCTGGGCCTCGCCCTGGGCCCTTTCGCTCATCTGCTCCAGACTTTTGCGCAGCTCCTTGTGCTCGCCGGTGGAGTCTCGCTGCTCGGCCTTCTGGTACAGACTTGTGCGCGCGAAGAGGGCGGTGGAGGTGCCGTGCTCCGGATGCTTGTCCAGATCCTCGGGCAGGGGGAAGTCAATGTCGAAGGGGAACCGGCGCAGCTCCTCGAACTTGGCCGCCTGGACCTCTTTGTCCTGGCCATAGCTGATGACCACGGCCTGCAGGACGACGTCGCTGACCGGGGGCTGGATGTAGGCGATCACGTCCTTGAAGAGATTCTCCTTGCGCCACACCGTCTGCCTGTACTGCACCACCTGGTAGACCACCGTCTCCGGCTCCGGGCTGTACTGCACCAGCATCCAGGTGTCGTCGGTCATGGCCTCCGGTTCGGTGGCCAAGTTGTCATCGAAGGCGAGGTCAAAGCTGCGCGCTTTCAGGTGCAGCAGCATCTTCTCCATGTAATCCCGCTGCTCGTAGGCGTACAGCACATGGGCAATACATCCGGGAGCCAGGCTCACCAGGGGATTGCCCTTCAGCTCGGGCTTGGTGCTCATCCACATCACTTTGTTGGGGGAGACCAGTTTCTGGACGAGTCGATCGCCTCCGCCCGCCTCATCGCTTTCGGTGTATTGCACCAGCAGTTGTTGGGCACTGGCGTCCTCGCGCTCCTCCCTGCTCATGGAGAGCAGGGCGGCGTCCACCAGACGCCTCTCGTCCGCCGCCAGGATGAGCTTGGCCTCCACCACCATGCCATTGACCCGGAACTCCACGAAGCGGCTTATGTACTTGTCCGACACATCGGATTCCAGCAGCTCCATGGAGTGGAGCACGCAGAGCCGTCTCCGGCCATTCGGTTTCCCACTCGTCATCGAGCCATCGTCCACTTCGGCCAGGAACCAGGACAACCGAGTGGCTGCCAAAGGACCATTGGCACTAGCGGCACAATTAGCGGAGTCATCCAGTCCACTGTCGTTGCTGATGTTGCTCATGATAATGTAGGTTTATTATTGAGTATCTATAATCTTCAAAGTTAATTTTATTTTGTAAATAAAATTCAAGTCTTAAAGTTTATCCTTTATCTTGATGGTTTGGATATGTTGATTACTGCAATGTTCTTGGCAAACTGATGCCTTTTCGCCCGCTGCCAGATATTTTATAGGTCCTAACATATTTTACCTGCCTTAAATATATATCTTTCCTGGACTTTTATGATCTATGCCAGCTGCCTGGGAGGAGGGATTAATCCAAGGGCTAGCCATGGCTGGGATTATTCTAATTGAGAATTACCTGCTGATTGTGCGGATTTTCCCAATATGCAGCTGTTGAGTAAGTGGCCATAAATGCGAATTGCAAATGTGCTGCATTTTTGGGAAAGAGTAAAATATGCTTGCCTTTAAAAGGTTGAAATATATATTAAATTTTGTAAAATATCTTTGATTTGCTTCGTAGTCTTAAAAAATTATATAATTAATATGAATCTACTAACAGTTTATAAAATAAGTAAAGAATATAAAGGGTCTCCTAACTTTTAAAAGGTCAATAAAGTAAAACCCAAAATCTAAAGTAAATGATATTGTCAAAAATAGAAGATAAGCAAAGTAGCACAGTAATAAAGTAACAAAAGATAAAGTCTATAATGGAGATACAATAATTTTGTTTATTAATATTACACAAAAAATTTAAAATTTTTACAAATTGTAAACATCAAAAATTAGTAAATAGCTTATAAAAATGGCGTGAAAAAGGTTTTTTGGAAAGGAATTCAAATTTTAAAAGTAAATTAAAAAGAGCGGTTTTTCAAAAGTTATAGCGAGTATCTTTAATGCCTTACTATTTTGGACTGATCATCCTGAGCCTCCTGATCCTGGCCAGAAACTATGCGAAGGAACAAACTGGATGTCTTTCCCGGTTCACTAAAATCCGCAAGTGAAAATCGGTCGCAACTTCTCATGGAAAGCAAGTGACTGCCGGTGACTGCTCCTTGGCCAATAGGAACACCCTGTCCGGGACTTCCACGCCAATGAAGGGACACCATGGATAGCTCCGAGCATCCAACGCTCTGATCGGATGGTTTCTTGGCCAATTTGAGGGCGTTGGTTAGGGAGAAGAAGCGACCTGCTTGTCCGGCGGGAACTCCCAGCACTCGAGTGGAAAACTCAATGGCCCTTATTTTGGAGGCCTCCCTATCCGGATGAATGTCGCCACCACGCTCCCGTGGACAAAGGACGTCGGGGCTTATGCCCAGTGGACAGTCCCTGGGATCGTGCTCCCTGTGCTTGTCCAGCTCGCAGAACGTGTGGATGTCCTCGAACAGTCCCAGGGCGATGGCTTCGTTGATGGCCCTTCCATTGGCCAGCAGGCAGCCCAGTACGGTACCCGAGGCCATTTCACGGATGTTTATGTGGTAGATGTTATCCGGATGCCGGAGTATGGTCAGCACCACGTCGTTGAAGGATCTCGGTCCAATAAGGTAAAATAGCTCATGTAGCAAGCTATCCAGAACGGGCAAATTGCCGTCGCCACAAAATTGGCATCTGCATGGTGTCGGATCTGTGGGTTTAGTTTCTCTAAAAGATGCATTGGAAGCGTAAATCTCGCTTATTGTGGATTTCCTTGCCAAACTACCGGGTCTCTCATCTCGCCTCCTCAAATCCTCGTGCATATCCGTCATTTTGAGGTCCGATTGCGTTGAAGTGGAATTAAAATTGCGCTTGGCTTTCGAGCAATTGCATTGAGTTTTCTGTTCGTTAACCGAAACAGATTTCCTTTCCGTTATGGGGATATTTTTGTTTCCATCCTCCTCCTTACAAGGACTCGATTCCAGGTCCTTGGGCTTGATAAAATATTTAACTAATTCCACCAGTAGTCCACCAAATGCGTTAGTTTTCTCATCTTGTTCATTGCCACACTTCTTGGATTTCGTGAAAAGCTGTATGAACTGCTCGATCAAGGACTGATAGACCTCCTTTTCCACAGTTTGCTCTGATTGCGATTGTTGTGGACTTTTATTTGTATTCAAACAAGATGTGGAGGAAACTCTTCTTGTTCGAGGAGTTTCGTTTTCAGCTTTTGCTGCCAATTTAACAAATCCATCGAGTAAATTGTCAACCTCCTTTTGCTTTAAATTTTGGTTTGTAGGGTTTACAGAGTAAGGTGATCTTTGGGTTTTATTTTCTTCCGAAATCTTTCTCGAATCGTCACAAATCGATTCTTCGTTTTTGGGTTTTAGGAACACACGATTGAATTGTTGCAAAAAGTTATCCGTATCCTCTAAGCTCTGCGTTGGAAAGGGCTTTTTAGTATTATTTCGGCAATTGGCTTTGTAATGATTATCATTCAAATCGCACTGTGTAGAGATTGCCTTTCGGTTATCCTTACAACGCTGGCTGGCACTGGGTTTTCCGATAACTTTTCTAGAATTTGCATCATTTCTACAAGTGCATTGTTTAGCAATGGGTTTTTGGGTATCATTTCGGGACCTTATTTGATCGGTGCCCTCGGGCTTTAAGCAAATTTTGATAAATTCTTTGGAAAAGTCACTGTACTCGCAATCATCCTCATCATTTTTCTGTGTTGGTTGATAGCGGTTTGCAGGTTTTTTTGGCGATTCGCAGTCCTTTGCTTGGGCCTTGAAGATGAGACTACAGTCAGCGGGATTTCCTTCCTGGGCTTTCCATGAATTCATAGATCCTTGCAAATCTTTCAGAGATTGCTCCTGTTTCCTCAACTTCGTTTCCAGTTCCACTACCCTATCGAGAATTTTGGTGGAGTTTAAAGGCTCTGAAGACTTAGCATCAAGTGGTTTTTCATATTGTGTCTGCTTATCTTCTTTATGCGAAGTAACTAACACTGTATCCGATGTACTTTGATGCATTTCATTTGTAAATTCGGTAGAAAGGGGAAGGCATCTTTTTACCACTATCATGGGACGCTTAAAGAAACTTTTTCGCAATGAACTATCAAAACTCTGAGCTTTTTCATCGTTATATTTCGGCTTATTGGGGACAGTGTCTTGCTTAGTTTCTTCTGGAACGATAATTTCCGTTTGAGATTGACTACTCTTAAGGTCCAATGACAAAAATGGAATCGATTGTGTTTCGGCATCTTGAAGTCTTGGCTGAGATTGAGTGGATGCATCTCGGCTGATCCTACTATCCAGCTGGTTCCCATTGGAATTCGGTTGAATTGCCGTTTGAGTGGCCATGTCCTTGGTGGAAACGGTTTGGGTGGATTCCGACACGGTGGCCATTCCTTGATGCTCGAAGTACGAGGGTTTTTCTACCGAGCAATCCGAAATGGAGCCGCAGCTGCAAGCTCTTTCCGCAGGTAGACGACGACTAATGTCCGACCTGCAGGTCATCAAATCCGTACCAGAAGCATCTGCAAGAGTAATAAAATGATTTAATGGCACATCTGAAGCACTACCTGAAAGCGTTTGCTGGGTGGTATATAAGACCGTGACTTATAAGTAACCATTCAGTTTACAATTGGACAACAAACAGAACTATGGTGAGTGGTAGAGAAAATTCCAAAATATATATTGAAGAATATAGTAATATAGTAATATAGTATAGAGCACAGCATATATATTCAGATAAACATAAACTTGCCTTGGGTTATTTTAAATATTTAGGAAAATATTACTTTGCCTTGGGTAATTTTTGCGTACTATAAATGATGGGCTCATCTTTATGGTCATGTTTAGTCCGTTTACTAAAAATTAATTTCCTTCAATCTTATTCTATAATAAAATCAAATTGGTATTCCATTAAGTGAAGCACCTTCTCACAACAATGATGCCCTTACAGATTAATCGTCGCCAGCGTTTGGAATTCGCCCTGACCCTTTTACCCTACGATCCCGAGACGGTGCAGCTGTCCGAGAAGCAGAAAAAGGTGGAGCAGATCATCGCCCGCCTGCGGACGGATCACTCGTTTTCGGAGGAGGAGAGCGACGATGGCAAGATGCGACGGCTGCAGGAAGCCAATGAGTTTGCCGACAGCGCCATGCGCCACATCGAAATGTCGGACACTGGCAAGCTGAGCACTCTGGAAACCCTGACCCTGGCTGCTGAGAAGCTCCTGAGATCGCAGCGATCGGAGGACTTCGAAGACATTGTGCAGGATGTGGAGAATGCGCAGCTGATGAGGAGCACCATCCTGGCGGTGAATGAGGCCCGGATGAAGCTCATCCAGCAGTGGGAGCGCAGCAAGCGCAAGGCCCTGGATCTCCTCACCATCGAGATCGAGAAGGTGCAGGAAATGGACCAGGAGCAGGAGCAAGCACACGAGAAGGATCGAGAGCAGGAGCAGGATCAGGATCAGGAGCAGAGTTCGGAGCCCTTCGACGTGTTCCGAAATGGAACCGATGAGCACAACACCTCGACGCCAAAAACCAACGACGGGGAGATCGGATTGGATGATGACGATGACGAGGATTATGTGCCAGCTGGCGAGGAACCAGTGACGAATAAGAGGAAGCGCATCAAGAAACCCGTGACATCCACGCCGAATGCCAAGCGTCCGTGTCCGGGCTTCGAGTTCGACCAGGACAGCGAATCGCCCATGGTGATGATCGGTCCCAATGGCACCGAAGTATCCCGCGTCAGCCTGAGCGCCATCAACTGGGACATGACCGGCCCATCGATCACCCGCAAGTTGCTCTGCGAGATCTTCGACCGGGACACCTTGGCCCACCACACGTTATCCGGAAAACCATCTCCGGCCTTCAGGGACTGCGCCCGTCCCAGCAAACAGCAGCTCGATCCTCTCAAGGTTGCCGACTTGGTCTACCTGATGACCAACAGTCTGGACATGACGCCGCGCGAAGTTCGCACCGCAATCACCACAAAGTGTGCGGATGAGAACAAGATGCTACGGTCCCGACTGCAGCGCAGATCCAAGTAGTAAGATTCCCAGGAGAATCCCAGAAGATGTCCTTAGCTTCAAGAATTCATAGATGTTTCCTTGGGGGGACTGACTGACTGACTGACTGATTCCTCCGGGTTTCCACAACGATTGCTTGGAATTATTATTAGCAAGTTTGGATATTCTTTTGCATTATCCCTAAAATCTATTATGGCCATTTGTAGCCGATTCTCTTGTAAACTTATACCCGGCTCAGCCGAGAACAGCCAGTGCTCTTAAATTAAAATAAAATTACCCATTTTCTTACCCACAACATGTCTGGATTCGTATGAGCGGGTCAGGGAATCATCGCTTTTGGTCTCCTTGGGAAAATCCTCGCACCTGAAACACAAATTCTAATTGCAGAATAGGAAAACGGCAAAGTGTAGCCAATTCTTACCTATTCAATAGCATCAAAAATTTGTTATAAAGATTTTTGTTCCTAACCTGGTGAGCAACCGCACTCTCTTCGCCGAATTTTTTCATTTCTTATTGAACTTAACAGATAATTTGTAATATGTGCAAAATAATAGAAGTTTGATTGCCTCAAACTAGAGCTGGGAAACTATCGATGGCACTATCGAGGTATCGAATGAGCAACAATCGATAGTTTTTTGTCGCTATCGATGGTGCTGGGCATTTTTTTTACATCACTTAACTTTGCAAAAAATACGAGGCTTGGTTGCAGAATTTTGGGTAGGAAAAATAAAAAAAATTAAATATTAAACCTTTCAAAAAATAATGCATTTTAGATTAACTTAAATTGGAGGTAATGATTGTAGTTTCGAATACTATTGCAAAAAATATATACTATATATGATATATACATTCAAAATTGCTTATAATTTTATTATGTATAAAGAATCGTACAAAAAACGGTATAATCGATAGTATCGAATTTTCGCTCCCAAAACATCGAAAATATCGAATGGGACCACCATCGATAGTTTCCCAGCTCTACCTCACACGAACTTTTTTTCTTTTAGTTTACAAACATTTAAATTATGGGTCTATGCATGTGTGGCTTCCCAGAAATAAATCTGCAATCAATGTCGAAGGCTTGGGCTAAGATCGACTTCTCAGACATAAAGCATTATTTATTCGCTTTATCAACTAGTCAATACAACTTGGAAGCTCACAATATTCAAGGGCCATTTTTCACACATGCACCCAAGACGATGAAATTGATGAGTAATTCCTGCAGCACAAGAAATTCGTGTCGGAAAATAAATGGAATAATCAATTTTCGGTTGTCGCTCTGACCAAATCGTGTCAATGTTTTGAGAACGTCTCTTTTTTTTTGTGCCCATGTATGTATGTATGTATGTTTGTAAATATTGTATTTCTTTTTCCCCTGTGATGTACAACATTTTCGATATGCAAATGCTTTGGGAAAAGGCAGACTGATTTAAATATACATATTTATGTGTGATGCCAGCCAGTGTGCCGATGTAAACATTCCATACATATACATATATATAGTTTTCCCTCCTCTGGACCACAAACCGCAAAGACAGGGGCTCAAGTAAACTCTGCCTTTCGAATTTGCGGCGAGGAAATTGTATAAAAATGTAATTCCCAAACATTTGAACGAAAGGACGAAGGGCGGGAATAGTATAAGGAATAGACGACCCAAAAGTATAACAAATAAACTCGGTAGCGATTCCTTGGAGCGTTCATCAAAGCAAAATTGATATCAATCATACGCACACAACCGCCCTCACAATCGTATCGCCGTCTATCTGATGGCAAATTGAAACATTATATAAAGAATTGGCCCGGCCAGCCCACAAACTACCCATTCGGCAAATTGCCCTTAAAAATAAAACACCATTAAGGAGAGCCACAAGAAAAAGTGTATTAAATTTAAAGGAATTTCCACGAGTTGTTTGTATTCGTCGTTCGTTTTTGTTTGGCAAAAACTCAAAGAGGAGGGAAAACCTTCAATGGATTTTCCTCATCTTTGGCTTCAACTTTAAAGGTGAAGAAACAAAACAAAGGCAGCAAAAAGAAAACAAAGCCGCCGCGGCCAGGCGTGACATTGCTGGAAATGTATGCGGCGGAAAATGAAGTCATTACTCGAAGGTAAGACCCAGCTGAAAAGTCCCCCTTCCTTCTTCCCCCTTCCCCCCACATAAGTCGAACCAAAAATCAAAGTCACACTCCCGCAGATCCCGCAGACTTGGCTTTGCCGTTTACCCTTTCGGAAAACCCTAGTTTTTTTGTGCTGGTTTTCCTCTGGCGAAGTGTCAACGGCAGTCGTGCGTCTCCATTCCAGTGCCACAGCCACGCATCGCATCCCTTGGATGTCCTGCTCCTGTTCCTCTGACGATGACGATGATGATGACGATGACTCCACCCAACCGCTGTGTCGTACAATAAAAGTAGCAATAAGAAACACAAGTAACGATGATGCCAAGGATCTGGATGGAGACATGAATATCCTGTCGGTAGTCGCTAGTCGGTAAAGGACTAAATCAAAACTGACGGAGAAGGTAAATATGGAATTTATTTTCAAGTTTTGTATAATCGCATGATAAGCATCAAAATGTTTATGTTTATGTTAAGGCAACATTAAAATTGAACAATTTTTACATTTACTGGAGAACTAGTAAACTTGAGACTAAGACAATCTTCTTATTATTACTGTTGGTGTAGGTAAAAAAAAGCTTTAAATTAAAAAAAAAATTAGCATACCCCGTTGAGTACAGGAGTATGGGCAAAGGCCACGACAGGATAAACTCCCCTTTAGACCAGCCACCGCCATCTGCCCTTCGATTTGGCCCAACCGAGCTGACAATGACATTTACACTTCAGCTGCTGCTTTGCTTGGATTTCTTGCAGATGATGAATGAGCGAACGCAACGTTGACGCCTGTTGTGCTCGGTTAAGTCAAAGTTTTTCAGCATTTAGCTCATTAAGCAAACAATAGTTATTATCGCCATTGGCTTGAGTGGTTGGAGCGTAGAGCTTGACGATGGCACTCGAGTCCCTTAATGAACTGTAGCAGAAATTATTTAACGCTGAGGGCGAGGTAGGAAAGTCCAACTAGACAATTGAATTTGTTCTTTCCGGACTTTGAGCTAAGGATTTGCCTTTTTTCCGAAAAAGGTCAATTAGGCGTCTCTTTATTTTCAGGGTAGGCCGCCAAATGAAAATTTTAATAATACAAACGCTTTATTGTAGCTGCTCCTGTGGCTTGTTGCTTGCCTCCAGAAACTGCATCAAATGCACTCAAAAAAATTTGGTGAGAAAGGCATTACATTCTTTCAAGACTAAATAGATATTAGCCAAAACAATAGAGAATCTTGTAGAAAGTAAATTAGGGGTACTTAAGTTAAAAAGATTTAATTAAATGGTTTTATCGAAATTTGTTTAATACAAATATAAATGTTGCTTGTCACAGAGATGGTTTATAATTACTTAAAATGTATAAACTATTTGAAATTTTGAAGCCTGCATGCGTCATAATAATTTTTGAGAAACTATATATTTTTCTGGCATACATAAGCTCTCAATTAATAGGTACCAATCCAACTGGATTGACTATCTGTAAGTGATTTAGCTATTTGTCCCTGTGTATCTCCTCATCCACTGCCTTTGGCAATGTGCCATCATCGGCTTGTCGTTTTCAGTTATTCTAGAGTCGCCGGTGCCGGTGCCTTCACACAACAATGCCCACGAAAACCGAACGACAACGAGCGCAGAGTTAATTGAATTGTGTTTACTCTATGGGACCAGGACATAGTCGCCTCGTCAGTCGGGCTCCGTGTTATTTTGGGACTCCTTTTTGACGAGCAGCCACAAAGGATTGCGACGAAAGTCATTCCAGGCGACTTGCATGCCGGCAAGTCAACTTTTCCATTTGCATCCGTTGCTTAGTGGCTGCTAAGTGAAATATTGTTCAAAATTTTCGGAACATGTGATTCAGTTGCGAGCAGGAGAGTTCGCCATGCCTGCAAAGTATAAACTCGATTTCATTAAAAGTTTGCTTTTGTTACCATTCAAGCCAAAAGAGACGAATGAATTAAGTTTATGCAGCGGAAATTCAGGTAGATTTGTTTTAACTAAAAGGCAAACTTTCATTTTAACATATTTGTATTTCAGGTAAATATAAATAGTTTATTATTGCAAAAGGCAAAGGCGAAAACTCTGTAGTTTTAAACATTAATGTTGATTCATAACAATGCCTGGCATAAACCAGGCAAATTGTAGCAAAGTTTTGAGTCCAGTCTCTGAATAATAAATACGCCAATGCGAGTCTGAACAAAAGCAAAGTTAGCCAGCTAATTGTGATGATAATTAGTGTAATTGGTGGGCAGGTAAGCTGTTGTTCGCCCAAATCTCATCAGCTGCCTCGACAAAAGACAAACTAAACTCGGGGAACTGGAGTTTACCCCAAACGATGCTGGTTTCAATTACGGAATTTTATGATGTTTATGGCCACGAATGTAAAAGCGTTCGTAGCTCGCTAATGCGTCAAGTAGCCGCAGGACATTTCCCCGCCAGAGCAAACTAATTTCAAGCTTGTGCGAAATGCAAAAGTTTCACCAAGTGCGCAGTGCGCCGATAAAAAGTTTCGATTATAATAGACATTTCTGGACGCCGGAAAAACGGGAAATGAGAAATGGTTGGTTTTTGGGCCATGCTACATTTCATTTCAAAAGCCAAGGGGAATTGTTTCAAAAAGTTGTTTAACAGCACCAATATGCTGGTATAAAACACAAATCGTTTGAAAGTTGTGCAAAACAAATTAAGATTTAATCATAGACAATAATACAGGCGGTAAACTTTATGTCATAAATGACGTGATATTTAAATGTTATAGTGATTTAAATAGTTTTAAACTTTATGTTATAATAACACATTCAAAGAATGTGATATTTAAATGTTAGTGTGAAATAACTTCTGTAAACTAAAATAGCTCATACGCCTCGTGGTCGCTAACAGAGCATAACAAACACAGCTGTTCTATTTCACTCAATTTGCACTGTAGCCAA